GCAGCATGTCACTGTGCAGGGTTTCTGCCTGGGACAGCTCCCATAGCTGCAGGGGTACTCTGTTTGACATCTCCCTGTCTTTTTCAAACCTGTCTCATCCCAGATTTGCCCTCTCAGTAGCCCTGCCCTGGGATTCTTGCTTACAGGTCTGTATATTTTATCTGAAACTCATCCCAGCCTCTTGGGATTCAGGCAGAGGCCAGCTGATGCTTGCTGGGATTCAGGCAGAGGCCAGCTGATGCTTGTTTTCAGGCCTGGGGCTGTCTGACCTAGAAAGCAACAGCAACAGCTCCTTCCTGGTGTCCTCTGGAAGGATTGCACTTGTGTGAAAGCTCACTGTAAACCCTGCAAAATGCTCTGGCTTTGTGAAGATATCACTGGTGCTGCTTCCCCTGGTCACCACATGGCTGGCTTCTTTTAGGAGGGCATTAGAAGAAAAATCTTTCCAAAAGCAGCTACCAACCACAGAACTGCAAAGAGATCAGAGTGTGAGTCCTCACAGCAGCCTAAGCCATCCAGCACCTCATCCCTTCTTGAGGGACAAACATTTTCAGTGTCTGTCTTGGGCAATCTCAGCGCCTTGGCACTCACGTGTTCCCCTCGGCGGCTTTCCTCGCGGTGCGTCAGCCGCGGAGCTCAGGAAGCCTCGCTGACTGTCCTGCTTACATCACACAGGCGGAGGACCTTTGGACAACTGTCCTTGTCCCTGCTGAGGCAAGCCTCAGATTGCACATCTGGCACCTCATCCCAGGGCTGCTCGTGAGAAGGGCAGGGATGGAGCTCGGGGAGGAGAGAGGAGCTTAAGTGGGCTGGAAAGACTCCCAGCTGACGTACTCATCGCATATCTGACCTGGGTCAGTGGCAGTCATCCTTTGTGTCTGTGCTGAAGAAAGGATGGGTGGATGGACTGACGAAGAATGGATGGAAGAAGGGAAGAAAGGATGGACATAAGGAAGGATAGATGGTGTTCCATCAGTAAACGTAGAACTTCAGCCTTGCACAAATAGACATCATTATTTTAATAAAGCCGGTGCCAAACCTAAATTACCCCAACACTCCCATGATATAATCCCATCCTATGTGATTAAAAGATTTCCCAGAAAACTTAGAGATTAAGAAAAGTGATCAAAAAAAAATTGAGAAATCACTGTGCCCTACCCTGATGGATGGCAGTCTGATCCTTCTGACCCAGTCACCAGAGGGCATCAGCCTCTCGATAGGAAAACCCAGTTGGAATTTAGGAGATGAGATGCAGTAGCAAACAGGCACCAGCCACAATTTGGAGCCACCCTTTGTCTATGGACATTTGTTCCCAGTGTCCTGTGGCGGTGGCTCTTTCTGGTCAGGTTTGTTGAGCTGGTTATTGATGCCCTTCATTCCAGTGAGAAGCTGAGGAATTTGGAAAAGAGGAAAAGGAAGAGAAGTTGTTTCAGCTGCCTCTCCCAGAGCTGCGGTACAGGCAGGGAAATGGAGGTTAGTGTTAGGAGAGAAAACTGGCTGATGGGAGTGGATATCCATCTGGATACACACAACAGCACGGGAAGAAGCCTTCAGGTCACTGCAGAGAGGAAACCTGGCTGAGGAGGGCACAGAAAATCAGACAACAGAGCTTCAGGGTGAGCAAGAAAGGATGGTGAGGGTTTTGACAGCAAAAAGGATACAGAAGTCAAGTCTGGAGGAAACAGGAATCAATACCTCACAAAATCAGAGCATTTGTGACCTCCCAAACACATGGATCTCACTTGGGGTCAGCTCACCCAGCCCCTGGGAACGCTCACCAGGAGGAGAGGGTCATTTAAAGGGGGAAATGCAAATATCAGAAATCAGACTGGTAATCAGGATTGTTTTTTCTCCTATTTATTTCCACATCCACCTATTTATTTCTATCTCCTTTCTGCTGTGATAACTGAGCTGGGGTCTTTCATTCCAGCTGCTTCACCACTGCTCAAAGCTTGTTGTGTTTTTTCCAGCTCACCCAGGTTGTTTTGTTCCAATGAATTCTTATCAAACAGACGAGGGGAAAAGAAATAAAAATCTGTCCATCGGCTGGCATTCCTGACAGGTTCGGCGTGCCGTGGCATTCCCAGCGCTGCTTTCGTTCCCATCTAGTGGCCACATGGAAGATCACACTCCCAGATCCCCAGGTCTTGGCAGGATCCCGTGAGGCTCGGGCATCGGAGGAGGGTATAAAAGCACAGCCTCTCTGCCTGGTTTGTGGCAGGCCATGGGGAGTTAGCTGGGAAATTTCCTGTGGAAAAGCAGTGTTTTGTGCTCATCCAAAAAAAGACAGAGAACATTCTGAGCTTAGGAATACTGATATTTTTGTGTGCATCCATATAAAAAAAGGTGGAAATTATGGCCCTCAGCATTTTCTTAATGCAAAATTTGGAGCACCACCAGCCCCAACATGGATAAAATAATCATATTTCTGGCATAATGTCCTGTTTTGGATTAGAAATGGAAGCTGGAAAAGCAGATTTCCAAAGGGACAGATGCATGGCCTTGGTCAGCCCCGATGTTAAATGCAGAGCTTCTCTGGAAGGGTCTCTGGAGGGATTAACCACTAATGCAAACCTCCATTTCCTGATATTTATGGCAAAGTTTTCCTTCCATTGCAAACCAAAGGTGAACATCAGCTGTCAGGAGCTGTGCAGCCACCGAGAGGGTTTGTCATCCCTGCCTTGTGCAGGAAGCCTCTGGCAGAGGCTGGAAGCCATGCCAAGCTCTGTGACAGATTTCATTCACCCCACAGCCGCCCTTCCTGCAAATTCATCACCTTCCAAACGCGCTGCTCGGGCTCATGGTCTGAGAATGCAGGAGTCACCCTGCCCTCCCAGGCCTTTGGCAGTGAGCTCAGCCCTGAGGCACGGAGCCCACCGATGGACAGGGATCTCTGCTTGCCACAGCGGCAGTCGTGGGTGCCAAGGAAGCACTCTCCGTGTCTCTCCCGGCACGGGGCTCAGACCCCATGAGTCAGAGAAGGCTGTCCCGTGGCCTCCCCTCTCTGCTGCTGCTCAGGTGATGCTTTACCTGTGTGTCCCGTGCAGCTCTGTGCCCGTGGTACAGCGTGGAGCCACTGCTTCCAGCAGCAGAGCTCCGGGCTGCCTTTGTGCCCCACTTGCTGCCCCAGAGCTCTGGGTTGGGGCTGGCTGCTCTGGCAGTGCTGCAGAGCACAGCCACAGGGAGGTGGGGACGTGGCAGCCACAGGCACAGGCACAGTCCAGTCTGGGTTAAAAACCTCAGAGAGCCAGGACTGGGCTCTGCAGAAGGGCTGCAGCCGCAGGGCTGTGGGCACAGCGGCTCTGTCCCTGGGGCACTCACTGTGAGGATAAGGCCCCTGTGTTCAGCAGTGGGGCTGGGACAGAGCTGCCCTTGTGAAAATCCCTTGTGTGGAGGCATTTTATGGTTGAGCACAAGGCCACTCGTTGCAGGCCAAGAGGGCCCCGAGCAGCCTCAGCTCTCCTCCTCTCAGTCTCTTCCAAAACAAAGTGTTTACTTCCTCTGCGGCTTCATGTCTAGCGCCTGACACCTGCCAAATGAAGAATTTGGCATTCACAAGGGTCAGGATACTTGAAATGTGATTCTTATATTGTCACTGTAGGAGCAGTGCTGGATTTTCATACAGTTTTGTGCATTTTTTTCAGCTCAGCTCCTTTTAAGTGTTTTGTATTTTATTTGCCACCACTCTGCTAATGGGAGGTGAAAGTGGTTGTCTGGCTGCAATGCTTAGTGGCCTATTTCATGCATGTTAAGATAAAATATCTTTTAATCCTAAAATAATTTAACTGTACTCAAACACCATTGAATTTTCTCCCTCTTTTTACACAGAAACACATTAGTTCCAGGCAGCTGGAGCTCTCAGCCTTGCTCTTGCCACCTCCAGGATTCTCTCTCCCTGCCGAAGCAGAACCTCTGCTCCTGCTGAAACGTCCTGGGTGAAGCCTACAAGGAGAGGAACCCTGCAGACACCGGCACACTGGTGACGTTGAGAGACATTTTAGGAGTGGTGAGACCTCTTGTCAGCAAAGCTCTGAGAGAGGGATACTTGAGTGCACCTCAAAGTGGGGCCTGGGCTTTGCTCCAGAGGGCCAGAATGTGCCTCCCTGCAGCCGGGCTTGGACGGACCCAAACATGCCAGGATGGCATCGTGGCGTGCCAAGGCAAACTGGGTCCTGTCCAAGGCCTTCAAGAACAGGGTTTTTCCTACGTGAAGGCAAACCTATAGGAGGAAATGAGCCTGTGCCTAGGAAACCTCCTTCACAGCATGAGTGTGCCATCTTTATGCAAATGGCCCTTATTCATGCGGTGTCTCAGCAGCCCCGGCCTGGGAACACGCTGGCCCCAGGCTGCCGGGACACACGGGCAAGGGGACACCAGGTGACACATGGGCAAGGGGACACCAGGTGACACATGGGCAAGGGAACACGAGGTGACACATGGGCAAGGGGGACACCAAGTGCTCTACCAGCTCAGGTTCCACTGATGGATGGAAGCAGCTCACAAAGCCCTCACTGAGCTTCAGCACACTGACATGAAAGCCTCAGCTGCCAGGACTGAGTGATTCCAGCAGCACCTTTCCAGTTTGCCAAATTTCATGTCCCTTTGCTGGCATCCGGGCGCAGTTGAAGGCACCTGGAGTCAGGAGGGCACGGGTAGTCAAAGGCAGGCACCACTGGCAAACAATGGAATTTCTGAGGGAGCATAACTACCGTGCCTGTGAAATGCAGTGTTCTCCCGAGCTTCTTTGCTTGCTCACGGCCTGTGAAAAAAATCCAAATCCTGAGTGATCTACGTAATCATTGTTGTGCGTAGGAAGCCTTGCCTGGGCTTTGTGCTGGGGAAAAAAACTTAGCTATGGCAAAGGTGAGAGGAAAGGAGTTGCTAATTGCTGTAGGCTTCTCCTGTGATTCATTCTTTCTCCACATACCAAGGGACTTCAAATAGGTAAAGAAAACTCACCACCTGATGCACAGATGGAAAGGCACTAGGAAGATCTCAAAGCAAGAAAGCTAAGACTTAAGCTGCACTTCCAGGAGGAAATTCCCAAACAATCCTCACATGTCCTTTATTTCTCTGCTGCTCTGGGCACAACTGGAAATAATGAGCAAGGTAGCAGGGAAATATCTCAATCCCCATCACATGCTCCCAGTCCTTATGTGAGGCTGGGCTCCCCCAGAAGAGGCAGTACTGTATAATTAGCTCACAGGGTCTGTGCTGTCAGATGAGCTGTGATAGACATCTCCCAGTGAGTTCATACCCCAGCCCCCAAGGTGAGGGAAGGGATATAACAAACTCAGCCAAGAGCCTTCAAGGCAAGCCCAGATTGTTGCCACTCTGTCTGTACAACCATACAGTGGCGTTCTGGTTTGGGGAGGCTTTTCTTCATTTGAAGATTTCTCCTCTGGCTCTTTTTCAGCTCAGTCTCTAAGACACTAGGGCAACAACATCTCTATTTTCCCAAGTGTAGGCATCATTTTTGCAGCAGCCACCCTGCCCACATAACTACACATGGTCTCCAAGTCAGTGCATCCTGGGATTGAGCTGGGAGAACTCCAAAATCAGTGAACAGTAGTCACACAGCTTCTGCTATCTTCTGCTTCACATTTTAACATTTTTTTTCCTCTTCTCTTTAGAATGAGGACTTTTTGAGCCCTTGCAGAATGATCCAGTGGCTCCACACACCTTTGGGTGCTCTCCTCTGCCAGGCACTGCTCCGGGCTGCAATACTGGAGTTAGAGAGGTGATGGGATGAGTGTGCTCAACACTGGAGTGGTGTGGTAAGCTGAATACGTAAAGTAACGTGCACTGCAGGTGAAGCACTGTCATTCTTAAAGTAAAGGGCTGCAGTAATGTTGCCAGGTAAAGGAGTGTCAGGCACTGGCTCCAACAACAGAGCCTTTGTGTCCCTAGAGGTTCCTATCTAAAGCATCTTCCCCCTTCTGTCCAGTTCTTCTGTTCCCAGTTTGCACTGGGGTACCCCTGGGGAGCCTGGCTTGGGGTGCACGTGGGGATAGGCACCAGCCTGCCCTCTTCAGAGAGTCCTGGGAGAAGTTCCTGTGAATTGCCTCAGGGAAATGGAAGAAAAGGCAGCAATTTTCAGTGCAGCATGGCAGGACGTGGTATTTTTAGAGAAGAGGATTCTTAGCTGAGGGACAGCTCCCCATTCTAGTGTAAATCCACTATTGCTTCACCCACGTCCTGGCTTCAGGCCCTTAAAATTACTGCTGGGGTCAGGAGGTGCCCCCAAGCATTTGCAGGTTGGGCCATTGCACAAAAACGAGTGGGTGAGTGCTGGAGGATGTGTTGGGTCAAAGGAGAGCTGTTCAGTGCACGCTGTGTGAAAACCAGAGCAGCTGAAGGCCAGGACAGTGTGCTAACAGCGGGCGGCAGGATGGCTGTGCTGGGCAGGCTTGCAGCACGTTACCCCATCCCTGAATCAAAACCGAGCTGGGCACATCCTGCTGAGCTCTTCCTAGAGCCAGTGAGGGGCAGCACTGGAGCCACAACACGGCACAGGGCATTTTGAAATGATCAGGCTGCCTCCCCCATTGCCTGCTACCCAGGAAAGCCTTTGGAAAGCAGGTGTAAAACCCCACTGCTGCGATTTGGTCGCATCACGCTGCTTAGCGCTGCTGCGTGTTTCATCGGATGGAGCAGGAGTGCTCTGTGTCCCTGGAGCTGAAGTTGTTTGAGAAGGTACCCCTTAGGTTTTCAGGAGGGTCTGTTTTTATATTTGAATTGATATAACTGTCAGAAAATCCCACCGAGTCTTGTCATCGCAAGGCCAGCAGATTGTGTTCTTTTGGTTTTTCCTCCTTAGACATGCTCAAATGCAGAGTCAGAGCACTGGGCAGACTTTCCTGGGGGAACAGTGCATAAATTATTCCCTTTCTGGACAAGTTTTGCTCATGTGATCCCTGCTTCAGTTAAGTATCCAGGAAAGGAGCGGAGCACAGGGAGAATGTCACCATCTTAGGAAAATGATCCTTTGCTAAAGGGCTTTCTCAGCAGGGAGGCACAGCCACCTCAACACCTGCATGTCTCAGAGGCCAACAAACTACCAATATCCAGAAAGGCAATATCCAGGCCTTTCCCTTCCTTCCTCCCCAACAGCCTGGCTATGCACTTGCATGCTCTTTATCACAGCAATCTCGATTTACATCAGCAGGAACTGGAGTCACACATGCCTCACTTCAAAGCTCCCTCCCTGCCTGTGAGGGAGCTGCTGATAGCAGCAGATAGTGGTGTCTGCAGCTCACAAGTGAAGTGAAAGTCTGCTGAACTGCCCAGACAGACACCACTCCGGTTTGAGTCATTACCCTTTTCCACCTGTTCTCAGGTGGATGGATGAGAAAGGATAACTCATGTTCAAACACCAGGTCAGCTGTGCCCGCCCTTCCAAAATAAACATTTGATGTCAGAGAAGAAAATTAATGGGATGGTGTTGCAGATAGTTCCTTTCTCTTCACGCATTTCTCTGGGGTTTTATCAAAAGTAAAGAGAGTGAATAAGATCCCAGTAGGCACTCAGAGTCTCCTGGAAGAAATGATGTCCAAGTGCGCTCCGCCGAGGCCCAGCAGCTGTCAGCATGGGTGGCACTGCTCCTCCACGAGTCCAGCCTGTGCTCTGGATCATCCCTGCACAGCTGGGAAGCGATGGCTGTGTGCTGGCCACCCCCTATCCCACCAACAAGGACAGGGATCAGAGGGGCAAAGAGATATCACCAATGTCACCTGCACTGGCTGCTGCCAGGTGCTGTCTGAGCCCAGTCTGTGCTGAAGGATTTCAAAGTGATGGTCGAGGCCCAGGGAGGACTAGCCGGGCTCCTGTGCCCATCTCCTCTCACTTCCCTGCCAGCCTGTGGAAATCCAGCTCTGGCTCAGGGCAGGTGCCAAGATCCGTGCCCGAGCATGCAGCCCCCTGCACAGGCTCCCTGCTTATCTGTGAGCTGCAGCCAGTTGGTCTCACCAGCCCTTGGGGCAGCTCCCTGTTCCCTGGGCCCATCCTCATGGAACAGCCAGAGCAAGGACTCCCCGGGCAGCAGCTCCAGCCTGGCTGTCCTGCCGGAAAAGCCCGGGTGCCGCCGGGAGGAGCGGTGGCTCAGTAGGTGGCACTCTGCATCCACAGGGAAGCGGCGCCTTCCCAAAGGTGAGCCCTGCCCTTGCAGCCCCAGCAGCGCGCCCGCAGGCCCCCTCAAGACTTCTCCTCCTTGCACCACGCCTGGGGATATCCTCTGCAAGTTCATCCCGGGGACAGAGTCCAAATGTCCTTGCAGCCCTGGCAAAGGGCAGCGGCAAGCTTAGTGCCTTTTTCCTCACAGCACACAAGAAGAGCCGGGGCTTGTGGCAAATTGCACCCAGAATCCCAGGATGTCCTGAACTCCTGGCCTCTGGAGGGTGTTCACTCCAAGAAACAGCCTAGTAGGGCTTGGCTGGGAGGCTGCCATTCGGGAAGAGCTCACCTGATGTCCTACCAGAACCCCTCTGTGCATAACTGGGTACCCATTACCATCTTGCTGCGCTTTCTGGACTCTGAGGAGTTGTGCTGGTTGATGCCAGGCTGCCCCTTCTTCTCCAAGGTCACAGGAGTAGCAGGAGGAAGTTGATGAAATGACAGATTCAAAGCATGGCAAGCCAAATTCCTCGCTGCTGGCAGTCAGTGAGATGGAGCTATCAGCTGGAGACCGGGGAAGAGAGGGAACACGGTGAGTCAGCTGCTGGATATGCCGTGTTTGGTCTCTAAACAGTGCAGGTAACACGGGCAATTGCACTTGGGACATTCAACCTTTCACCTGCTGAGCCTCTTCCAATTGCTCAGCAGTTTGCCAAGTGCAGCAAGCGGGACTGGAATGTTCAGTGCGCAGTATATTTCTCGGACTGGACTTCAGAAAAGTTAAAATGTTTCCAGTGAATCTCTGATTAAGAAAAATGGGAGAAATATTTTCTTTCAACAGCTGAAGAAAATCTGTGGGGGAAGCTGTGCTGCCTGGTTGAGGAAGCCAGCCTTGAGCACAGCAGGAGGGAGGAAGAGAGGGAGGATTCCTGACTGACAAACTGTGCTTTGGCCATTCTCAAATCACCAACCCCACGTTTCAGCACAAGAGACCCCAAACCCCGGAGTCTCTTCCTTTGGACAAACGCCCCTCGCATGCAAATGATCTCTGTGAACTCCAGGCACTGGGACTTACGGAGGTCTTGTGGGAACTTCAGTCCGAGGGGGAAAGGAGGAGCCCTGTGAAGCCCCTGACTGTCCCCCACGTAGCCCAGGAGCTGCTTGTTGACTGCCTGCAGAGCTCTCTGATGTGGGGTTGCAGTGATGAGCAGGATTTGTCTTTTCTCTGCTGTATCTCTGAGGACAGTCAACAAAGGGGAAACACAACAAAAACCCCAGAAGTGAAGCTGTCAGCTCATGCCAGCTGTTTCAGACACTTCCAGTTGCACCGTGCACAGAAGGGCTGCCAAGGTTTGCTGGAGCTGTCTGTGTCAGGTTAACACCCCAGTGACTTATTCAGCATCTTCTTTTCCAGACCTCTTGGGCATCGCCTCTCGGGATTGGCATGACCTGGCAAAGGCACCGGGAGCCACACATCGTGTGTGCCTGTGGAAGAAGGGAGAAGGTTCAGTGACTGACTGACTTGGATCCCTGCCACTTCGAGCAAAGGCTCTGGCAGCTTCCTGAGCTGAATGTGAGTAACATTCTGTCCTGTCTCAGTTAAAAAGCCAGAGCCTCCTTTCCCTATGCAGCACTGCCCCCCGCTGCCCTCCCACCCTGCTCTGCCGTGGGACCGGAGCAGGGGGGTACCAGTCCCTTCATCCTGGATCCCCTGGCTTCTCGGGGTTCCCGTGCTAGACCCGCACGTTACAACCTGCTGTCCCAGTTTCTCTCCCCTCAAAACAGCAGTTCCCTCTACAACTGCCTGAAAGGAGGTTGTGGTGATGTGGAGCACCCGCTCGCTTCTGTGGTGCCTGAAGTGCCAGTACTAGAGGAAATGGCCTTAGGATGAGACCAGGGAGCCTCAGATTAGATACCAGGAAAACGTTTTCGCTGTTTGGGTGCCCAGGCACTGGAATAGGTTGCTCCGGGAGGTGGTGGATTCACCACCCCTGGAGGTGTTCAGGAAGCATCTGCATGTGGCACTGGGCGATGAGGTTTAGTGGTTTAGGGGTTACAGAGCTGGGTCCATGGTTGGACTCGGTGCGCTTACAGGTCTCTTCCAGACTCGGTGGTTCTGGGATTCTTCAGCAGGCCCGCTTCTCCCCGCAAGAGCCGTGGGGCGGTGCCCTCCGGGGAGCTCTGCGGGGGCAGCCGTGAGCGGCAGCGGCCCCGAGGAGCGCGGCTGTCCCTGCCCGCTGGTGCCGCCGCTTACTCAGCCCTTACT